CGCGAACACTTAGGGACTGAAATTGGGAGTTTGGCGAATTCGCTGGCGAAATGGGATCTGTGGGCTGCCAAGCCGGTTTCGCAGGACGCGAAATTGAAGTCGCGGGCGAGTCGCAGTTAGCAGGGCGCGAAGTCGCGTTGGGCTCGCGAGTGATATGGAGCTGAAATCTGGGCACCTGAGTGTTCGCTGGCGAGACAGAATTCGCAGGCGAGACAGAATTCGCTGGCTGCGAACTCAAGGTCGCTGAGTGCCAATCTTCTTTCGCGAGCTAGTCGGGATTGGCAGGGCGCGAAAATGAACTCGCCCCGCCAATGGACTGGAGCTGAATTTTGGGCACTTGGGCATAATTCTCTATACTTAGTCTCATTTTGAGTCCTTTTCACCCCAAATTTTCAACTCAACTCTCGGAGTATAATTTGCTCGATTCTCGACCCGTTTTCACCTTTACAAATATCGCGTGTCGTGTGCTTTGCGGGGATATTTATTCTCAATAGAAAACAAAAGAAAGAAAATGCGAAAATCGTGGGTTGCCTCCCACGAAGCGCTCATTTTAACGTCTTGAGCTCGACGTTCTCTACCAAAATCAACTGGGGTCTAAAAAGAAATGTCGTTCGTGCCACGCCTTTGTATTCTCCAAAAGTAGACGGCCCAGGAGAATGCAACAAAGGCGGGCCCAATAGAATCTCGTGGCCGTGTTCTTGTGAAACCGAGCACGAATATCAACAACAACCAAGAGGAGAGATAATTCTTTACAAACCAAAGCCCCATAATCGACCTCCGAAAATATGAAATTGTCCGTGGAGCACGTCGAATCGATCTCGATCGTCATATGTATCATCTCGGATGCGTACTCATCGATCTCAAGCATCGGGAGCATGGGTGTGAACACGCTAGACTCCTCCACATGGTCACGATCCTCAATAATACGAAATGATGACCCAAAGGTCATCAGAACCAATTCATACCCAACATCCCAAGTCGTCTCCTCAATCAATACAAACTTTGGGTCCACGACATCACATAACGACTCGGCATCCTCCTCAACAACATCCACAACATCATCAACTACCCCATCATCCTCATCAAAATCATCCTCCCGAGCACTATCAAGTTCGCTCGGTACAACCGAATCCACCAATAAGTTCTCTCCCACTCCATACATCATATCATCTCCCGAATCCATACACTCACCCTCAACAATGGAATCAACGCTCAAAGCACTATCATCGAAGGAGAGAGTTGACGTACCTAACGTTGAATGCACGGCCTAATCGTCAAGGGAGGATATTTCTTTAACGACCAAATCGTCGATGTCCTCACTCGTGTCGAGAAGTTGCGTACCGTCATAAACGAGAGTGAGACCCATCTCTTTCAAAGAGGCAAACCTATCCACCATAGCTCGAAATTCTTCCTCTGACCGTGTACTCTCTAGAATAATCCTCGCCGATAGAGAACAATATCTACCGAGCGGAATGTGAGAGGTATACAAATCAAGGAAAGAGACCACGGTAGAGTCAAAATTTGTGAGTGTTTCTTGAACAACGGATGGAATAGGTACACAACTCCAACTATGAAACTCCTCAATAATCGACATGAGGCTCGCAAGTGCCTCTTGAGTGCTCGTCAAAACCTCTCAGTGACTTTCGGTAGGCTCAACCCTTTTCGGAAATGAAACTTCGGAACTCGATGTACAAGGTTGGCCAACCGATAGGTGCTCGTATGATGGAGAGGAAGGAGCATAGGACTCGGTTTCTTCTTTTCCAGATGTGGGAACCATTGAAGCGCGAAGGGATTGATTGCACTTCTCCAATTTCTCCATAATTTCATCTAAATGGCTTGGAGAAGTTTCCCGAGTTGGCTCGGGTGGACATGTCCCTTCATAATAATAGGAAGGTGGGAGATCCGTAGTGAGGTGTCTCGTCGTGATCCGGAGAGTAATAGCCATAATCGCCTTGAGATTGCGGGTAAGAATGGCTCGGGCCATACCCTTGGGACGTAGTGTATCCGTCATAACAATAAGGATTTGAATAGCTCCGATACGAATGGGGCGGCCCTCCATATGATTGCATCTCCTTATGGTAGTTGTCGGAGTATCCACGAGACGAGCTACCGACGTAAGAATAGCCGTATGGATCCATTGGAGCTCCTCAAGCGAAATACCTCGCACAAGAACAACAAACAACCAAGGCACACGAGACCAAGCAAAGAAAAATACAAAAACAAAACTAACACGATATGATATTTACAAGAACACACATACCAAAAATCAAGAGAAATAGAAAATAAGCGAATAATCAAGAGAAACACGCAAAATTAAGCAAAATCAACAAAAAGCAAGAGAAACACGGAAACAAACGACAACTAGATAGTAAACTTGGCGTCCTACTTGCCTTCCCCGGCAACGGCGCCATTTTGTTTGTAGTATTTTTGGGCATGTGGTAACCGAGTTACCCGACTCGGGTCGTTCTCAAAGGAAGGCTCTTCGGAGCTTCATTCACTATCTAGTCGTCAATTCACACAACCGAAAATAAAGTCCTAAACATTCTACTCGCTTGATTGTGGGTTGATTACACAAAATTAAACTAATCTACGAGCAAATAATGAAAATGTAAGAATCGAAAGAAATGTCGAACTTTGGTTGCACGGAGTCTACATAACTTGACGAAAATAAAAATAACAAAAAGAAAACATGCGAGCCTAGCGATCCTAAGTATCCTAACACGAACCTTCTATCCTAGATCATCCCGCTTCGAGCAAGTCGGAACCTCTATACTAGATAAGCACGTATCGAACCCTAACACGCATAAACACGCAATGAAAATAATGCAAGGCCTAAAATCGAACATAACACATCATTCCAACCAAATCACGACTCGAAATAATAAGCCCTAATCAAGGTACCTATTTTCCTGTAGCAAGATTGGACGAAAATAATGCGTAGAGAACGAAATTTAGATAAAAATAAGATAGCCGAAAAGTTACCGGAAAACTCGCCAGAAAACTCGCCGGAAAATGTCAAGTGTGCACCTCCAAACCAAAGAACAAAAAATATAGAGAGAAGAGAGAATGGAGAGAATTTCCCCAACTAAGAAGTTGGGAAAATGAGGGGATTGTCCCAAAAATTACACACAAGCATCCTATTTATACATACACACAAACACACACTAAAAACACACACATTTAATGAAATTATGAAGTTCGCAGGTCTCGAAACGGGGTTCGCAGCGAGTTTAGGCATGGAATAGTGCAGTTGGGCGGGTTCGCGGGTCGCCAAACCTTGTTCGCAGCAAGTTTAGTGTTGGCAGAGTGCTTTCGCGGCTCGCGAAATCAGTTTCGCTGTGAGTGTGGCATTTGGAGCTGTTGAAGTTTGCATTTGGCGCGGCGCGAATCCTTGTTCGCTGCGAGTGTGTTGCTGGTGTGAGGAGCGCTGCGTTTGGCGGGTCGCGTGGAAAGCTTGGTGCATGGGATGTGCTTCGCAGGTCGCCATTTCCTTTTCGCAGCGAGTCTGGGCAAGGGATCCATGTGTGGTTCGCAGCCCGCCAATGTGACCTCGCGGGCGAGTGCCTAGGCTTGGCCTCCTAGTGCCATTTGGCGGCCCGCGAATCGGATTTCGCTGCGAACATGACCCTCAACTCGATTTCTTCACTCGGGTGACTCAATCGGTGATCTCTCTCTCGGAAACTCATATGGCTTGATCAAAATGGCTCGACTAACTCGTGTCGGAATGGCTCGACATCAAAATCATGGATAGTGACTCGAATAATAACTCGAAAAATGGCTCGTTTCCCCAAACATGTATAATGGACCTATAAAACACACCAAAAGAGACGCGAAAATACGACAAAATACAAAAACACATAACGAGAACGAAAACACATAAAACACGACAAAATGGACCGGTTGACACTAAAACGAACCTAAAAACACTAAACTAAAACACATAAATCACACGAAAATAGGCACAAAAACACAATAAACATAAGGATGAAAATTTGACCACCAGACACCAAATTTTGAGGCATGCTATGCTGTTTGTCTCCATTGTCTATAAGAAGAAGACCTGAAAGCATGAGAAGAAAATCGCCAGATTTTTCCCGAGTCCGATTGTTGTTCTCTTACACAATTCATACATAAATCTTTTGCTCGAACTGTAAGCTCGCGTGAATTTCCTCAACAGAGTGAAAGACGCGTTGGATGCGCCTATATTTTTACGCTTTTGTGGTCAATCAGCGGCACCACCACAACCACTACGACCGTTTAACATTTTATAACTTGCAGAATATATTTTATAAAATAAAAAAGAGATGTGGAAATGATAGTAATTAAAAATGAAATAGTATTGTAGAGAATTTCTACAACCGAATCAGAAATGAGAGTGAATTTATAGAATCGAAACAGAATTTATATAGAACCGAACAATTTTATAAAGAACCGGGCACAAAAACTCAAAAGGTATCATATCCTCAAAAAACTTAGAAATGAGATGAAGAAAGTGAAAGATAGTTGTAAATAGTGAAAAATTTCAAATTGAGGATGGTATTTATAGATTTATTTTTTTGCATTTTTCTATTTTTTAATTACAGAATGCCTAGGACAGCCCGACGACGGTTCAAGCAATTCAAATCAAGAGACAAGCCTATATCATGTTCGACTCGTTTGAACCTCAGCGGTTAACTGACAAATTCTGATAAACTACACAACATTGATCAAGAGAGGGATGGATATAACACAAACTCAAATTCATTAGAGCTACGACAATAGAAATCTGCATTTAGCCTTTAAAAATGTTCCACAAGTCACCAAAAACGAAAGAAACTGACATATTCATCAGCACAAACAACGGAAATATCCAAAACCGGCCGTCTAAATAACACCACAATCTCACTCGAACAGCCTCCCAACAGAAATTAATCTCATTCAGCATCCAACAATAATCCATAATAAATTAATAGAAGCCCAGTAATAATCGCCAAAAAAACCACCTATATAAATCCTAGTTCTCAAACAATTTGAAACCCGAAAAGCCTAAAGCCCTTGGCCTCCTCCAGACCAACTTCAACCCTACTGCCAATAATATCCTTCCCCTCTTCAACAACTGCAATTTCCCCAATACTCCGACCTTCTTCTCTATCCTCCATTAATTCCTTTTGCCCAAAACCCTCGAAATACGCCACGTCAATCACAGACAGCTTCTGCTCCCCAGCCTCATACAAGGAGAAAATAACTCTATCCTTCGCTCGCAACTTCTTCTCCTTGGCAAACCTATTCCATCCCCTAGTGAACACAAAGCTCTGACTACTCTTCCAGTAACAGTACCTCAACTTCCACGACTTGCTCATACAACGCTCGAAAAAAACCAACTCCAAATCATCCACATTATTATTATTACCATCATTGCCCCCATCCTTAATGTAGGGAATCTGAGGAAGAAATTTAAGCGCGTACTTTTTCGGGATTACTAGTCGGTTGAGCTTGCCCACGTCGCTTGGGGTGAGCTCCTTCTGGAAGAGGTGGCGAAAGGCCCGGTTGTGTGGGCCCGAAAGGGTTGGGTCGTGGTGGTGGTGGGCCCGGAGGTAGTCGGAGAATCGGCCCGCGTAGGACCCGTCTTTGATCATAGCAAGGACAATGTCCGGAGTGAATTGGGCCTGGAAGTTGGGCTCGTGGGCCGTGACTGAGGTCCATGGGATGTTGCGGTGGGTGGGGCGGCCGCGCAGGCTGACGGCGGCGCTGTCGTAGGCGGCGGCGGCCTCGCGTTCCGACTTGAAGGTGCCGAGCCAGATACGCTGGTGCTGGGTGTAGATCTGTGCTCCCCAGTGACCGTTGGGCTGGGCCACTACGCCTTTGTATTTGGAGGCCCGGTCAGTCGTGTTGCTGCTGCTGCTGCTGCTGCTAGAGTTGGATGTTTCGGCCCAATAGTTCCGGGCTGGGCCCAATATGGGGTTTGNCAGTAAATTATGGTTTGCATATATGTTTGTATGGGAAAACTAATATTATAAATGGATCATCTTTCTTTCAATTAGATGGGTAAAAAATTCCGTATCAAAACAACCGAAGATAATAAAAAGATGATAGTTAATTAGAGGCTAAATCTCTTAGGCTAATTATGTTCCTTACCTTGGTGCATCTTCGTAGGCAATCAACACTATATGAACTCCAGAACCAGCCAAAACCATCAGTCAGAAATGCAAGTTTTGAAAAATAGAATTTAATACACTGCCACTATCTTATTTGAAATTTATAGAACAGATTAATAAATAGACATCTGGAAGAGCAACGTTTAAAGGCGAGAGCATCTTGTAGTAAATGCTATGAGTAGGAGCCTACATTTTGCATCGAAAGATACTTGAATTCAAAATAATCCCAGAAAGGAAAGTGATAAAAGGAAAAACAAAAATATATGAAAAAAAGTTAATACCCGAGCGCAAAGCATAATTACCTTAAAAGAGAAAATTTCATATCCATTTAATTGACATACTTATGCTCTTTCTTCTATTGTTCGAATTCATCCACAAATCCTTCTAACCCATAACTAAACTGTGTCCAGTTATATGAACAATCGGTAGCCAGCGAAGCGGTTAACAACTTGTTGAACCGGTCAGAAACGACAAAAAACCAACCAGTCGGATCAGTCCTTTTTTTGTTTTAATATGTTTATAAATAATTTTAACATAAATAGAGTACATATTTAATCTATAATGGATATGTATAAATTATTTGTCAATTAAGCATTTAAATGTTTTAAATTATCCAAATATTTAATTAATAACATATTTACATATAAAAATTATTACATAAAGCATTATATATATTTAAAAAGATATTAATAATTTATAAACCTAATCCGACCACTGAACCATTGAAGCAATAACTAGACCGATAATGAGAATCTTCCCTACCTGACTTTTGTTGAAAAACTAGAAGGTGGAACAATGGTGTGAACAGCCATTAGTCTTCTCAAACAATGTTGAAAATGATGTCGGCCGGTGGTAGAAAATAGTTTATCATGCATTTAAATTCACGAAGAAAATAAAAAACAATAGAAAAATTGTGTATCGTGCATATCGGGCATTCTCATGCCATGTTATATCATTATCATAGCACGCCAAATTTTGATGATCGAAATAAGAGCTTTTGCACCATTTATGGTTAATTTACCAACAATGATAGGAGTCATTGGACCATTTATTAAAGTTTTAAAATGTCAGTCAACAAGTCAACATGTCAAATGATTACAGCCTCCTAATTTTAATGATATGCTCATCATTTGCAAAAATAGGTCAAATTAATGGAGCCCTTATGAAATTTTTCCTACCTTAAAGCAATATGCAATACTTGGATGCATTATCCTCCCTGAGCACATCCCTTGTTTCATTTAAAAAATTAAAAAATCAATAACAATTTGACTCAAAGGAATACACCCTTCTAACTTTAATGAGACGCTCAGCAAAAATAGGTCAAATGAATAGAGCACTTATGAAAATTTTCCTACCTTAAAGCAATATGCAGTACTTGGATGCATAATCCTCCCTGAACATATCCCTTGTTTCATTTAAAACATTAAAAAAGCAACAATAATAACCATCTACAGTTCCCATAGGAAAAGTACCCATATGAAAAGTGAAAGGAGCACAAGCCTGAAAAAATTCCAATAAAAATATATTACAATAGAATTTCGACAACAATTGCAATGGATATTCCAATGCTATTATTTCCTTTCAAATTTTCTAACGAAAATTCAAACAAAAATAGTCCATCGAAATGAGTTTTCCATGGGAATTCCAATTGAATTTTATTGATTTTAACGGTAGATTTAATAGTAAAAATAAGGTTGGAAAAAAAATTCAATGGAAATTCCTAATAAACCGCTGGAAAAATAACCATTGGAATCATCAAATTCAAACTAAAATTCCAATGGAATATTTCAACTAAAAATAGTCTCATAGTTACGGTATTTCAAAGTAATTCCATAAGAATGCAATTGATCAAAAGAACAATGTTGACCAATTTTAAAAGATATGAGACTATTATTGGTCAATTGCATTCCAATATAATTTCTTCTGAAACACCCTACCATTATGAGACTATTTTTCACTTTTTCTTCCCTTCCCATTTAGACACAATGTCAATTCACCAATATTACATGTTGGTTACTACTAATTCATGAAACTAATCATACTTTTAAACTTCAGTTTCTAGCTATTTGTAGGCATCCCAAAGAGCTTTGGACATTGATTAAACTTAAAAAATGATTTTAGAGTTTATTTCTAATATGCACCATATCTAAATAGAGAAGGCTAAATGGTCTTTAGAAACTCCATCTACGTAGGGAGTGGGCAAAGACATGGTGTAAAAGTATAATCTCAAAATATGATATAATTAAAATATCACAACATTTGTATATAAATTCTTTTTCATATTAGTATAAATTTACATATTATCACACGATTATTGAAACCTTCATTGAAAATCAACATTTGCAGCTATTATCACACTATTACATACAAATTTACATATTATCACACGATTACATATAAATTTACATATTATAACCTTCATTGAAACTGAGGCTAAATGCCAAAAACCATGTAATGCTATGAATAGAAATTGTAAATTCTCCGATTATTTGGAATAAGAAAATCAACATTTGCAGCTTTTATTAATATTTAAACTTTAAAGTGTAATTGCCTAATTTCCTGGTAAGAATAACTATCTTAAGTTTGTCTTAGCTTAATCATATAGTACAAAAGACAAGGAACGAATACCAGATAATCTAAGGCCACCAAAAAACATAAACCATTATGAATAAATATACTTACAAGGGTCTTAGCTAGGTATCAGAATTAAAAAATCCCCCTCTATTCTGAAATAAGCAGTTCTGAAAAATAAATCCACCATTCACTAAACTCAACTGCTTATTTGTCGAACAAAAAACAGGCAAATGTATTATTCTGGTGGGAAAATACAACCATGGGATCAAACAAGGAAACTCGGAGTATTTCAACTGCTTGCTTTAATCATATTGGTCAAGAAAATTCACTTTATTTGGTTTGTCATAGTGGCAAAGAAATTCAAACACCTATATGACTATACAAATGTTATTTGAAAATGAGAAACCCGTAAGAAGCATTGGTGAGCGAATCCCACTAAGCAACAAAAGTATGCATTCTTATTAAGCATCTTCAACACAATTGTATTTTTTAAATTCTTAAAAATGCATTCTTTAGGAACAAGAAGATTGATAGAATAAACTATATTCTCTGATAAAACGCATTACACAACCATACAGAGAAATTTAACACAAAAGATACTAAAAATCAACTAAAACAATATCACCTCTAAGTGATTTCACAGAAGATTGAAAATACAAGTACATAAATTCCCTTCTTTAATTAACCGAAGTATGAAATGATAACACTTGGGTCAAATCAATTACATAGTTGACATTTGAACAAATGACAACAAGCATCAACATGTAAACCTTATTCATCCACTATATATCATACAAAAAATTAATTGGATTTCTTAAAACAGACAGACTTCCTAGATGTTTGAATTTAATTACTCACATGTAATGCATAAAATTATCATCAGCATTGGACAGCCAAAAAGAACCAACATATTAATGTACATGATCAGTTACTTACAAGAACAATAAATTAAAAATAAAAAAATAAAAAAAAAATCTGAAAACCCTATGAGAAAAGGAAGATGAATAAATACCTGAGATATCAAGTTTCAACAAAGGAAGCAATGAATTTCCCCATCACCAAATAGCCAACGAGTCTGAAGAATTAATTTCAGGAGATAATTAAATAGAAATAACAAAATTAAATTTGGATTAGTTGATTAGGAATGGAAAGTAAATAAAGTCAAGGGTAAATAAATAAATAGAAATCGAAAACTTCCTAACCTGTGCACTGACATTTTCCATTGTTGATTGAGGAGACCCATGATTCTATGGTATTATGAAGGAAACAAAAATCTTCACATTTCGGGGCTTCAATCACAACTTCAATTATCTCCATATGGAAGTTTTCCTCGCAGCAAAAAACACTCACAAATATCAAATCCATGACAAAAGGTAACCAAAATAAACAAGGGAATAAAAGAAAAAATGAGAAATATTAGCTAGGTTACATAAAATATAATAGAGAAGTGGAAAGTTTTGATCCCAAGGGAATTTATTTGAGAGGGATTTGGAGAATAACCTGATTGATTTCTTTTCTTCGGTTGGATAAAGAAAAGTGAAAGACAAAAAGATTAGATAATTTATTCGAATTAAATAAAAACAAAATCCAGAAACAATTTCCGTTAAATAAGAACAGTGAGCAGGCGTACCTTCTTCCTTTATCTTCTCCGTCCTCTCCATTCAACAAACATGAAAAGTCACGCCTCATATGCATCATCATCATCATATATAATAATTAATAATTATATAATAATAATCTCATGTTATTGCAAAACCCATATCAAGTAACTAATAATTCTTTACAATTATTTGACCAAGTTTACTAGTCCGCTGGTTGTGAAGAAAATAAATAAATAAATAAATTAAGGCTTATATTTATATATATATATATATAAAAAAGTGTTTGGGGAATTGCATTGTGAGGGAAGAGAAAGAGTTAAATAAAGGTAGTGATTAGTGATTAGCTGACAGAGAGAGAAGGGAGCACACGAAATCGCAAAGGTATAGAGTCTTTATACAATTGCCTGCGTATGCTCACTCTCTTCTGTCAGTAAGACTCATAATTAAACCCAACTGTACTCCATAACTCATTAACTTGGTAAACACATATGGAATACTTCATCTTTAGATCTGAGAACAAAAGACAATCCATTTAAGGCAAAAATAACTTGACTAAATAATAATAATAACACAACAAACACCAAATCCCCCACAAATTTACCCAAAGGGATACATGTCCCTCTAAGAAGCAGAAAACACGTCGTGTTAGGGTTTTCTTTTCTCT